ATTGTACGCGGCCGCTCGCTTCTCTGTGATTTGTTGCGATCTTGTGTGAGTTGCGTTCGCCTGCACCTTCCGCTATAGCTCACTGTGTTTTGCCCGGCGCTGTTCCGTATAGCTGTTTGGCACAGTAGGTGTAGCGGGGCCCCGTTTTGTTTTCTTAGCGCTTTTCGCGGCATGGCAGCTGTCAATGATGGCCACAAGGCGTGCACCTTCTGCCGCCGCGAGCTGCCAGCTAGCGAGCTGAAGGATCACGGCAGGCGCGTCCTTTGCCCCAGCTGCAACACGGTCGAAACCATGTTGCGGCGCAATCTGGACGGAAAGCCGGAGCACATGCCATCCGTTGATGATGCGGAGTCGGTCAAGTTCTTCGCGCACTTGGCGGAGCAGTAGCAGAGAGGCCAAAGCGTGCGGGTCGTGTCGGCAGAATTGGATCATCTGTTCGCGCTGCCTGATTCACTGCAATCAGCGAACCAAAATCTTTCGAGGCCACACACGGCAGTCGGAGGGCCTGCGTAGACGAAGTCAGTTGTGGGAAAAGCATTTGGCTACACGACGCAGCAGATCGAAGAGTCCCCACACGAATGGGACCCTATCCTGGGAGACACGTACGCGGTGATGCTGAAGTCCGTGTGCCGCCGACAGACAACCGTGCAGAACGTGACGAGCGCTGTGCTCGAACACGAAAAGCGAGCCACCGCCAAAAAGAACAAAAAGCCCAAGGGCGGAGCTCCTGCAGATGAAGAGGCCTTGGATCTCGATCTCCCTCTGCCCCCGAAGGCTGAGTGCAATAGCACGAAGTCTGTCACAGCGGAGCACAAGCGACAGGCGCAAGTGGCTAAAAAAGTCGCGAGCCAAAACACCAAAGCCGCAGCGCTGGCTGCGAAAGCCGTGAGCTGCCTCCACCCGGTTTGCGCCGCGCTGGAGAAGTCTTTGGCCTGCGTGGCCAAGCGTCCCTCGGACGCAAGTCGGTCTGGTCTTGAGCAAGCGTTGACCGACAGCAAGGCAAAGCTTACATGCTGGCTGGCTGCCTGCCGGGATCTTCTGGTACAGCACGAGCAGGAGAAGCCATCCCAGGAGCCACAGGCGCTCGCCTCGCTTCCCTTCACGGCCGATGATCTCAAGCCCGCTTTGGCTTGTGCGCGAGAGGTGCTCAAGTCTGTTAAAGTCAGTGCGCCGGCACGCAAGCGGGCGGCGCCCGAGCAGGGGGATGGCCCTCCCTGCAGGGACGTGTCGGGCGCAGCCGAAAGCGTCGGCGCGCAAAGTGGATCCAAAGTGAGGCGGGGGTCAGGCTTTTGGGGCTTTTATTGCTTTTATAAAACGCATGTCGCAATAATTCAGCACGTTTGCTTTAGTCCTGCGTCTTGTGGCGTGTCTGCGCCGATGCAGGTGTTGCCTGGATAGCGTGTTGTGTAGACGCGCGCCGGCGCCGCAAGACTTGCATTAGCCTGGGTATATAGAGAAAAGTCATCGCAGCTCTGGCAGCGTTGTGCCGCGCTTTTGGCGTTTCGGTAAGGGCCGCAGTCTGTGGTATAGCTCAGTCCCCTCAAGCAATAACCGCTGCAGAGGATGCCATTGGGTTTAGGGTCATGAAAAGCGAACGTGTCTTGCATGTTTGGGTTGTCACACTTACCCTCTAAAGCGAAAACCTATTAAAAGGAAAAAAACTATACATACGCGATTTTTGCTTTTCGATTGTTTTTTTTTTTTTTTTTTTTTTTGCTGTTTCTCAAAAAAGCAAGCTATGGCCAAAAGACCAGTTGATCCTCGCAGGCACGCGCCAGTTAAGTTGCGCAAGGCCAGTTCCACAAGCGCGCTGCGCCAGGACAGATATTTTCACAATCGATCGGCTCCGGCTTCCCTCTCTCAGTGTCGCAGATCGTTGCGGTTGCGGTGCTGGACGCGGATGGCGGGGCAGGGGAACTCGCGTGCAGCAACGAACATCGTGTGCTGTTGATTGAGGTGCATGGCGAGGTGATGGAGCACCTTCAGGTCATGGACCTGCCGGCCAAGGATCCCGCATCCAAAGTCCAAGTCAGCTACATGTCTGTAGCCGGCGTGCTGCAGGCTAAGTGCAACGCTTGTCCACTGTTCCATGACTGCCTCCGCGCAATAGCCCAGGAAAGGGACAACCAGCTGACGCTGGTGGTGTACCTGGACGAATGCACGCCTGGGAATGTGCTCTCTCCCGACAATGCTCGGAAATCCAACCTTACGTACTGGACCATCCTCCAACTGCCGCATATTTACCTTGAGGACACTTGGCTCACCTTGTCCGTGAGCCGGACGTCAGAAATCAGTGCTTTGCGGCATGGCATGGTCACTCTCGCTGCGGCGCTACTGCGAGCTGTGCGGGCGGAGACAGTCAGCGGTGTCCCGGTGGAGCTTTCTGGCTCGGCGGAGCTCCTGTTTTTCGACCGCGTGCTTCTTCTCGCAGACCACGAAGGCCTGCGCGCTGCCACTGGCTGCAAAGGATCTTCGGGTATGAAGCCATGCCTGAAGTGTGCCAATGTTATGAACACTGGCTACGGCATCGTCCGATGGCACGTGACAGTGGCCGAGCCAGACATAACAAGCTTCGTGCCACAGACTCAAAACAGCCTCCGCGCTGCGATTGACCACCTGTCAACCATGCCTACGAAAACTTCCCTCGGCGAGGCCGAAAAGCTCCTGGGCTGGAAGCTCGAAGAAGCTTCTGCCTCTTTTCTTCTTGCTCCCGACATGCAAGAATGGTGCGAGCTAGATTCCTGCACGTTTGACGCAATGCACGCGCTTTGGTCCAACGGCATAGTGGGGCAAGAGCTGGGCTACTGGTACACAGCCCTGCGCCGCAAGGCTAACCTCAGCCTCACAGACATGCGGCGCTACGTAGAGCTAGGCTGGCATGGAGTCGGGCGGGCGCGGGGCATAAACCTCTTGAGTCTGTTCACAGTCCACCTTTGGAGGGAGGGGGCCGACTTTCGAGGAGATGCGGGCCAAGCGCTGTTTGTGCTTTCCATTTGTGTGCAGTTTAGCGAAGACATTGCCATTGGCCTCTGCGCAGACATGCGCCGGGAGCACTCCTCTCTTGAAGCGTTGCACCGCGTGTGCTTGTGCGTCCTCGAAACGAAGCGCGACACTGCCCATGGCTCTCATCTGGCTCGGCTGCAAGCTGAGCACATCAGAAGCTTTGCGGCTGTCTACGGCGCTGATAAGGTCCGGCCCAAGCTGCATTATTCCTTGCACCTGCAGCAGCAGTGCTGGAAGTGGGGTCGCTTGGTTGACTGCTTCACTTGTGAGAGAAAGCACCGCGCTTTCAAACGTGTCGCAAGAAGGCAACAAATGCTAGCACGCTTTTCCCAGCAGTGCTTGCTCGAGTTAGCAATGAGTGCGAACTCCGTAAGCAGCCATGCCAAGAGGATTCTGTGGCGCTTTCTCCTGTCTGGACGGTCGGACGACTCTGGAGAAAGCCTCTGGAACGTGGGATCGTCGGCACTTGCGCTGGGCAGGCGCCCACTGCTCCAGCCCACCCTGGGCCCACCGCAGGTCTTAGCTCTGGGCCCAGACACAATCTCAAGAGGGGATATGTTTTTGATCACCTCCCCTGCGGAAGCCTTTGAAGTGCTGAAAAGTGCTGGGGGTAACTAACCTCCGTGGTCTCGCGCTATCCTTCTGCTTGATCCACGTCTTGGAAACCAGCAGACCTTCATTACAACATCCAAATGGGAAGGCAAACGAAATGGACACCGCGCTTTTTGGGGTTTCGCAATCACGTTTGTCCATATAGAAAGTGTGTAGCGTCAGCGCCTCGGGCCATGCACATGCGCGAAGAGCGCATTGGCAACACCACGCACATCTGGCTGCTCGAGTAGGAAAAACGGCCTCTGACACGCTGCCGGCTGAAGAAATTCGTGATCGAACCCACCATGGCTGAAGAAATTGGATGCAAAGCGCGCTATAAAAAACACGTAAAACACAAACGAACATGATAATGCGCAGAAGCTGAGCAAACAAGTTAAAAAAGTTAAGTAACTTATAAGTAACTTATAAGTTCCGCCTAACTTCCCTACAGCTAACTTTCATAAGTTCTCTATAACTAACTTATAAGTCCTTAAGTTGCCCGAGCATTCTAAGTAGTTTGGAGGTTGCACTAGTTGGCGACAAATCCCGAAGGGTTCCTTTCTTCTGGCGATAGATTGAAAGGAAATTGCAAGAACACCGCAGAGGGGGGTGCCCAAAAAAACAGGCCCCTCCTCATTGTTCAAGGCTCATACAACTCCGGTACAGTGTCAGGGATCCTCGTGTTGCCTGGTTAGATCCTTTTGTGGCTTGCCACATTGTCTTTTGGCCAACTTGAGAGCTTTCTGAATTATTGTGGCCAAAGGAAGAGGACAGGTACCCGAGTGACATTGGATTTCCGGTTTTGCGGAACAGGGATTCAGCTCAGCCCGACTTGAACTCGCCAGCGTTCTGGGCCCGTCAGAAGCGACACCCTGAAAATGTGCGAAAGTTAGCGCCCAAAACCCGCCGAAAATCTCAGAAGGTGGTTCTACGACCTGAAACCAGGGGATATCATTCGCGTCTTTGCTTAACCCCCAGGTCAGACTTCGACCCCTTTTTACCCCCCTTTTAGGCCATCCTCACAAGGTACCAAGGGACCCTCTGGGAACATCTTGGCAGAACCAAGAGTAAATCGGTGCGCTTTGGTATTGCCTTTTTGTTCATTCCAGTGTGCTGGATCTGCGACTATTGGAACAGAGTGTGTGTATGTGTGTGTGTGTGACAGATTGGACATTCTTGGCGTTGGTGGGTCAAGAGGCATTTCAAGGGAGAGTGAGTCAGCAGGAGAGGTTTCGAAATTGGATCATAGCTACGGCTGTTAAAAACAAAAAACACGGTTTCCTCTGTGCGTCCCTTGGCAATCCATCCAAAAGAAGGGTGTCCCATTTGTTTTGGCCACAACCGGATGCACTTTCCTGCAACTTGCCCGAACAAGCAGACGAGTCGTGCTGAGTTTTCGTGCCGAGGAGAAGGTTGGGAATACATTCTGCAGAAACATGGCGGGAAGCTTCCCATTGTCATCAAGGCCGCCGTTTGTGTTTTTCCCGGTGCTTCCAGTCTACAGTGGGAAACGGGAACCTAACAAAGAGCCACCAATACATGCCTGAAGAAATAAACAGCTACACAGGCTACACATCCGAAAGTTTCCACCCCAAGGGTCCTGAGGTTTATTCCCAGTATATACTCAGTGCTTAGCACACCAAATAGGCATGAACTATTTCCGGGTCAATCATCTAACATAGTTATGTGCCCAATGTTTGACCACAGAGTGTCTTCGCTGTATAAAAGCCCGCGTTTATGGACTCAATGTTTTGCACCAAGCAAAGCCATCTTCACTAAACAACAAGTATTGGCTTTGCTGGATATAGGTGCAGGTTGTTGGATAAACTCATTACGTTTTGACCTCCGAGCCTTCGGCGCGAAATGTGCGCGAAATGTTTTTGTTTTTGTTTTTTTGTGAAATTGTGGTCCTTAAATTATGGGCAGGGAGGGGGGAGGGGACAGAGCCCGAAGGCCTTAGGCCTTAGGCCCCATGCGTTGACCTCTTGCTTTTGGTGCACTCGAAACACTTCGAGTTAGTGTACAACTCTAAGGCGAGCCTGTTGTTTGTGTTTGTGAATGCGCCGCACCAATGTCAATCTGCCTTCGAACCAATTGCAGAGATGGCTGATTTCCCTACGGGAGCTTGAGTTGCCAGGCAAACCTATTGCCAAGTTGCATAGCGTTTGGCATGGTGCAAGAAGTGCAACTAACCGAGTCAGTCTCTCGTGTTCAGATTCAGCAATTGCTTTGGTACGTTGACTCTGAACTTCGAAGTGTAAGAAACGATTTCTTGTTGTTCGTAGCCCTGGACAATCAGAGGCAGTTGCATCCACGTATGAATTGTGACTGGAGCTACAATTGTTTCACAGCACGCGGCAACATGAGACAGGTGTTTCGTGGTGTCCTACTGTGGATGGACGAAATCCGTTTCGCACCACGAAATGAAACCATGGTTGAAACCATTGTTTGTTGGTATTTACAGGGGAATCGAACCATTCCAGGGTTTCTTAGGTCAGAATTTTGTCCATTCATATATGCATAGCATGACAAAAGGGGGAAGCCCGTGGAGACTGGGTGCGCCAAAAAGCCCATCCCCATCGCTTCCTGGCCGGGGGGTCGACAGAGTGCCTTCAAGAGAATTTCCGCCCCCTTCATGAGAAGGGCCGTGTGGCTCAAAATTGAACAGCTAGGGTTACGCAGGCTTTAGTCTTTAGTTCCATTTACCAAGGTGCCATTTTGGTACATGTTTTTGACCCACTGCCATTTAAGTGATGCCTTTCACACCCAATGCTATATTTTGAGGGGTTTAATTTCCGGGCTGGGTCGTTGTTTGGGGGGTGGTGGAAACCACTCTTTGCTCTCTTTTTCTAGCAGGGTCACTGGGGAACGCCAGCTTCGTCTATTTAAACCGGTCCCACTTACAAGGTGTCAAAGGGCTGAGAGGAATGCTCGCTTTCCCAATGCGGACCTTTTGACCTTTTTCCTGTTTTGGTCCATAGTAGAGGTTACAAAAGGAGGTCTCCTTCTATGTTGTGCGACTTTTGGCGGTGGGCCTTTGTTTCTTACTCTGTGCCCTGGTTCAGGTCGGTCCCTAACAGGCAAAAGGAACCAAAGGGGTGGCGGTTCCCTTAAAAGATAGAACCCACCAAAGCGAGGTTCCGAACATAATTACCGATCAAAGGGGGTGGCAGAACAACAATAGCACCATCCCCCCCCCCCCCAAAAAAAAAACAAAAAAACTTCCAAAAATACCGATCAATGGGGGTGGCAGAATAAAACCACCCCTCGCCCAAACAAAAACACAAAGAACTTCCACAAATACCGATCAAAGGGCTTGGCAGAATGAACATAAAACCAAGCATCGGGGGTGTCTGATTCCCCCCCCTCCCCAAAATAAAGAAATAAATAAAACATAAAACACCACAAAGAAGACAAACAGAACCACCCCCCATGTAATTCTTTGGCCGCGCTTGCCTCGCAGGCTGTTCCAGAGGGCATGGTGGTGCCTGTGAAGAACGTGCTGATGACGGCCGTTCGGCAAGCCAATTGTTTTTACACCTGCAGGGCTGTGTCAATATATGGCTGTGGCTCAACAAAAAAATGTACAGCAATGGCCTTTTGCTAAATCTGCGTAACCCTTGGTCTGTAATTTTCAGCCACACCCTGCCTGTTTTGTAGCGAGCTCACTGCTTCCGGTGATAAAGCGAGCAACTATTTTGGTACTGTAAATTGATATATTTTGCTTGGGGATCCAATTCTTATTGTAGGTTTTGGAGTTATCGTAAGATTTGCAGAATATATATATAGGGGGACCCTCCAAAAAGGGTAGTTGTCCTTTTTGGTTTCCTATTAAACCAGCCTCAAAGAGGGTACCGAAGCCCTCAACATTCCAACGTAAACATGATTTTTTTTGCAGCCCAAAAAAATGATTGGTGAATCCTTAAAAAAAAACATGTTGTTTGTTGTTTTGTTTCTTTTTGTCTTGTTGTGTCCCTGTCTCTATTTCTCACTTTGGGTGGTTGGCTACGACTCGCATGTGGCAGGGATCGCTCCAAAGGCCGGGCTTGATGCCAACCAGCGCTCCGAGTCGTTTGGAGACAGCCGTGCTGCATCTAGGTGCCCCAGTGACCAATTTGTTCAACTTGTTTGAGGGAGGGTTGCCCTCCTAAAATAGACTATGCAGAAAAAAGGGTACCCTTATTCTAACCTCTCTACTGGAGGACCTAGGCATGAGTTTTTGTTTTTCCGAACGCACAAAATGAATCAACGCGAGAGGTTTCCCTTTCCCTTAAAATCAACCCCGCAAAGGGTACCTTGAACACAAACACCCAGCCGCAAGTCTGACGTCGGTCGGCACTCAAGTTTCTGTGGTTCTAGGTGGTGAACACTGATCCCAAATGCGCCTTGGAAGCAAGGGTTCGTCTCGTCAAAAAACAGCCGCACCTGTGTTTTGCATCTTCTTTTTTTGAGTGACTGGTCGCCTGTTCTATTGGTTCGTATGCTTGTTCTTGTGTTGTTTTGGTCCGTGTCCTGTGTGTATGTTTTGGTTGGTTGTCTGTACTAGGTTGAGTTGAGCGCTTGAGTGAGTGTGTGTGTGTGTTGTTCGGTGCTCGCTTAGTGACCGTGAGTTTGTCTTCGTGCTGGCAAGCTTGCTTGCTTGCTTGCTTGCTTGCTTGCTTGCTTGCTTGCTTGCTTGCTTGCTTGCTTGCTTGCTTGCTTGCTTGCTTGCTTGCTTGCTTGCTTGGTCTGTCTGTCTGTCTGCCGGCCTGCCTGCCTGCCTGCCTGCCTTCCTGTCTGTTTGTCTGTCTGTCTGCCTGTCTGTCTGTCTGCCCGGTTGGTCGTTTGGTCGTTTGGTCGTTTGGTTGTTTGCTTGCGTGCTTGCTTGCATGTGTGATGTTTGTTTGTGTGCTACTTTGCATTAGGCTTAACCACGCCTTCTACGAGTCACGAGGGAATAACTGCTGTTGATCATATGTATCATCTCACTACATGCTCTCATAGCGACAGGATGCAATCGCCGGGACGTCGAGTGCTTCGGGAAAAGTCAAAGCTCGGAAGCCCTGCAGCTGTGAGCTTGATAATATGACGACCCGTTTGCCCAGTCCAGTGGAACCCATTTCCCTCTCGTTTGGGGGGTTTCCGGTTGCAAGTTGTTTTTCTCCCGGATGGCTGTTGGGCAAGACTGCGAATCAGGGGCAGACACAGTCACCGACACAGACACACATACGCACACCCACACGCGCGCCAAAAGAAAGAGAAACAAAGGAAGAAAAAATGAAAGAAAGAAATAGCGAAACAGGAATACCTGAAATAAGCAAACACACACAAACAAACACACAAACACACAAACACACAAACACACAAACACACAAACACACAAACACACAAACACACAAACAGAGACAGACGGACAGACAGACAGACTGACATACTGACAGAGACAGACCGACAAACCAACCAACCGACAACAAACCAGACAAGCAACCCCGCAATAAAGAGCGCAAGCAATCAGATCAGCAAGCGAGCGAGCGAGCGAGCGAGCCAGCAACCCAGCAACGCAGCAACCACACAGCCATACGACCACGCAACCAAGCAACCAAGCAATCAAACAACCAAACAGTCAAGCAACCAAGCAACCGAGAAGCAAGCAAGCAAGAAAGCAAGCAAGCAAGCAGGCAGGCAACCGAGCAGGCAACCGAGCGAGCAAGCAAGCCAGCCACCAACCCACCAACCAACCAACCGATCAACTATTTTCATTGAAGAGTTCATGTGGCGAGCACAATAGCAGTGTAGGTGCCACAAGTAAAAAGCAGGAAATCACATAAAAAAACTTGGAAAAAAAGGAAACCAAAGGAAAACACGCGAAGACATGCTCTACATATGGGAAGGAAAGTCTCGGATGAAGACCAGACCATGTTGGAACCTCGGCACCTAGTTCTTTAAGGCGGGCGACCCTTGAAAACCTGGCAGTGGAATCTTGGGATAGATAGCTCCGGCTGGCTTTGTGGATGGCTTGACATTGATCTGTGGCCGTTGGCTCAAGGAAGCAATGAAAGAGACTGCAAAGTCTCGCGTGTGGAAGGTACCTTTGGAAAATGCGGGCGCGGCAGAAACTCGCGCAGTGATCAAGAAGATAAAGACAAGGCTGTCTGCACGTCAGAGCGCAGTGTGTGGGGCGACAGTGACGCAAAGCCATGTGCCGCCCGACTCGAGACTTACCATACTTTGTCATCATTTTTGGCAACGCAAGTTAAGCCAGCCAGGCTTCGCAGACGTGGGCACTGAGGTGGTTTTCAAGCCCAGCAATTGAGCGAGTTTTTGTTTTCACGGGCTGTTCGCATGTAAATGTTCACATTCTAACAATTGAGGATGCTGTACTACTACCACGACTCTACACTGGCCAGCGCTAGGCACTTCTGCTTGCGGGAGCTGAGTGGCTGCGTGTGGTGGCTGAACCCAGCTGCAGTTGCAGCGGAAGACAGCGGCGAGCCAGAGATGAAAAGAGAAAAGGCTGCTGGGCAACAGGCTGCAAGCAACAAGGTCGCGCCGTGGCTGCAAGAGCGCGGTGGCTAAATTGATTGCTTCTTTGAATGCGCAACAGGCGCAGGGTATGAGTTGTTTTTCGACGTAGCTCTGCTGTGATGGAATAAATTTCTGTACATAAAAGTCTTCCCAATGTTGGTTCTACCCAGGGGTTCGGCGGGCCATTTTCGCGTTGCTTCAACGCCTTTCAGTTCCAGGGGTGAATGTGGCAGGCACATGGCAGTCTTTAAGACAGGTTAGCCCCAATCATGCTTGCAGCTTTTAGCGGGCAGTGCCACAGAAGCTTTGTGATTATCACTTATCTAAGCATGCGCTCAGAAAGCTTGCGGCGACAATCAGCGACGCGATCGAGAGGAAGCTGATTCTGAGAATGCTGCGCAGCTGAAGGCAGCCGGCGGGGATGCAAGCTGCTTTTGAGAGTCAACTGGACATAGTCGGCAGGTGTGCGTGTTAGTAGGCGCATGCAAACATATCACGCGCAGCGCACTCGGACGTAGCTTTGCATTCTGTGGCTTGCTGCAACTTCCAGTGGAGCATTTATAGTTACTTGCATGCTAGTTGGTTTCTGGCTTTGACAGCTGATGAGCTTGAGTTCACAGCGCAGCTAGCGCGCGTTTCCTACGTCGGAGGCAACCGTTACAGCTCTAACTTACCTGCTGCTTCGGCAGGCGCCGCCAGAAAGGCGCCGGAAGAGATCGCCGTGCTCTGGGCAGCCGCGCGCAAAGGCCATGGTGGCCCGGGCTGACGTGGCTTGACATGTCATGGAGGGGACTTGCTGCTATAAGATGTAAGCTGTGAATTTTCTACATATGCTTGCATGCCATCGTGCTTAAGTGGATGCAGCGGTGGTTGTTGGACTGGCTCCGCCGAAGCGGTGGTGCGTGGCAGTGCTGGTGAATTTTCGTTTTCTTTCTGTATAGGGCAAGCGTGTGTCTTGTCACGAAATCGGCTATTCGGTTTTGCTTTTGAGGGTTGTTTTGCTACTGCGGCACCAAGGACTTTACATGTAGACCGCGTCACATGCTATATTTTTGCCGGACGGCCAGTGTGCGGCCAGCGTGATGGTGGTCACTGATGTAGCAGACGCAGGTGTTGTGTGACCTTTTCTTGCTTAAGCAGCTGCCAAAGCATTTTTTCGTCACTTCAAAACTTTGGTACCTCATTGCGCGCGAAGTCAAATGTAGACTCGGCTTGGCTTTCAGGCGAGACAGCTCAAGCTCGGCCAGCGGAGTCTGGCAGGCGTTGCCGATGATGAGCTTTGCGAGGCTGACACTGGGGTGGCTTGGTGTAAACTTGTTTTGCAGTGTTATGGCAAAGGGCTTTGCGTCATTCACGGTATGTTTGCGAGGGAAGGAACGCTGCATCTATGAGTTTCTTTTTTGCACAAACCATGCCGAGCTCGGTGGTCGGTTCTGGTATCTCGTGAAAGCAGGGCACGAGCAGCCAAAGTTTAGGGCGTAATGTTGGACCCTCTTTAGTATAGGGGCCCCCCGCCTCCCCCCCCCCCGGAACAGTCTGAACAGTCAGGCGGGGTTCTCTTTAAGGGTCCCCCCTGACTTTTGTGCTTTGCCAATACATAGTTGAGTATTGCCAATACATAGTTTAGTATTGCCAAAGCTTTTGGGAGCTTTCTCCAATTCTAAGTTTAGCATTTGCAAGACTAAACTATGTATTGGCAGAGCTTTTTGAGGCCTTAAGGGACTTGAGGATTTTGAGGAGCAGAGCCAATACATAGTTTGGTTTAGTATTGCCAACACATTTTTTTGTGGGCTGGGCCCCAGGGCTTGGTATTAAAGTGAACCCCCTGAACAGTGGCCACTAAAGAGAATCAGGGGAGCTTGTGTACCACCCATCAGGATGGTTGTTTGGGGCTTGGTTTTGGAAAGATTTAAGTAAAGAAACTTGATAGTTGGGAGCCTGGAAAGTTTCTGGGTTTCAGGGTCTGGGTTTTTGGCCAGGTGTTGGATCTGATTTTTTTTGGGATTTTATGTTTTGCATTAAACCGAACCCCCTAAACAGTGGTGGGTGTCTGTTTAAGGGGATTTTTTTTGCTTTAAAGCGTCCCCGGGCACAAAACCGGGTCCAACATTAAAGGTCAGAGAACACACGGACTCAGTTGAAGTTCGCGCAATGTCAGGAGCATCTTTGTTTGGCGGCGTCATTCTTGGCAGTTTGCCTTTGTTTAGGCACGGTTTCGTTATCAGCGGGCTGCGCTAACCGTTTGTCACATCTTTTGCGGACTTCCAAGGGGCTGGTGTGTTGGGAAGGACACTCTGCAGCAGCCAAGCAGGGTCCAACTTCAATGAATTCCTGGATTTGTGGTAACGTTGCATTTCTGCCCGGACGGCACCGGCCTCTCTAGCAAGGATGAGCAGTCCACGCCTTGCGCTGCTGCTCTTGTTGCCACAGGTGTTGATGAGGACCGAACTTGGCTGAGCTGTCTCCTTTTGATTTCTTCGGGCACGTCGTTATTATTGGGGTGCCGTGGTTGAGCCGGTCACTGCATGCCTCGCGGGTTTTTTTCCAGCTTGTTTCACAGCCACCCCCGTACCTACACCGGCTGTCAGCACAGGTTAGCTTACCCATCGTTCGATCAAATAGCTTGGGAAGTTTGGGAAAGAGTGCTTCACAAGTTGTTTTTGGGGTGCGGATATGGCATAGGATCTCCGAGAACCACTGTGCTATTAGTTACTGTTGCTACTATTGTTTTTGTTTTAGTCGTTGCCAGCCTCTAGTACTGCCAATGGCAAATGTCAGATTAGTGGCAGCATGTAGAGGATTTGATTGAAGATTGCCAATGCTTCATGTTGGGTTGCAGGACTTAGCTCGGCTCTGCTAGTGGCAGTTTCGCGTCGT